GCAGCCCGCCCCCACGGTGCAAAGGGGGCCGCGCGCGGCCGGGGCCGCTGGAGTCCGCCGCGCAGAGCGGGCCCGAAGGGGACGAGAAGCTGGCGCCGGCCGGGGCCCCGAAGGCTTCCTGAAGGAAAGGAAGGGCAGGGGCTTCACGGGACCCAGCTGCCTGGAGACTGGCGGCCCCTGGGTGCCGCGGATGGAACCGGAGCCTGGCGTCCGCGACCTTGGGGACAGGAGCGGCGCGCCCTGCTGCTGCCAGGCCCCGAGGCCAGCGCCCACAGGGTCACAGGCAGGTTGGGGGACGCGGTCGCTGCAGCCACCGCAGCACTGTCTGACCCCACGGGGTTGCGCTCACGGGTCACCGCTGCCGTCTGGGCAGGCCCTGTCTCGGGATCACCTGCCGCCGCCCGGGCCAGCCTGCCTCTCCCCGCTGGCGACTCAGACTCCCAAACAGTAAACCAGATGTAAGCCAGCCTGTGGTCCGCTGAGTGCTTCCGCTCGTCGCAGCCCTGCGGCTGAGGACGGGCGGACAAGGGGTCCAGGAGAGCTGCGGCGGGGACGTGGGGGCTGGCGGCGCCGCGCCGGCTTTCTCTTCAGAGCTGGGTCCCCGCTTCTGCGGCCTCACTCTTCGCCCTGGGGCCGGGGCTGGAACTTGGAGGACGGCCGCTGGCTTTCCAGGGCTGTCACAGTCACCGCTTTTGTTCCGTTGGTCCCTGCTTCGCACCCTCAGCCCCGTGGGCGCTTCCGCTGGCAAAGCCTCGCCTTTCACCAGGCTACTTTGCTATCCTGGTGAGTCCAGGGACAGAGTTGAAAGGGGCTGTGGCTGGCTGGACGTGGGGGTGTGTGTGTGCCAGCACTGTGTGCGTGTGTGTGTGAGAGAGAGAGAGAGGGTGGGGGACACACGTCTGCCGGTGCACTGAGGGAGCTTTCCTGACAGCCTGGCTGCCACTATTCCCAGGACTCTGATGGGCACTGCCTGGTTCGCCCTGTACCCAAGGCGATACTGCCAGGAGTCCCGAGATTCATGCACGCATGACGCACGTGTGACGATGATGTGACAGGGCCTTGTCCTGCATGTGTGAGTAGAGGCCCCTGGTGGGGGGGGTTGGGTTCCTCCCAGCCAGCCCTGGAAGGCCTAGGTAGGCCCCTTCAGTGTCTCCTGCTGGCCAGCAGATAGGTGCCCTGGAGGCTCAGAGATACTTGTGACTTCAGAATGTGCTGGGGCCTGAGGTGACCAGTTCCCAGGCAGGGTTGGGGGTGTGTGTGGGCCCCACCTGCTCCAGGGGGCAGAACTCCCTCTGGGCAGCCAGTGCCCTATTTTATTCTCCCAGGCGAGAGAGGGAGGGAGAAGAGAGAGGGTCCCCGGCCACACCCAGGCCTGGCTCAGGGAGCACCAGAGCGCTGCCTCCGGTGGGTTCCAGTGGCTTCTGTGGGTGGCTCAGGCTCAGAAGCAGCACAGTGAGGAGCTCTCTCCCCAAAACGTGGCCACAGTCCCGAGAGGGCAGAGCAGGCCAGGACCCTGCTCCACGTCCATCTCATCTGGGCTCGGAGGCCAACGGCTGCTCACAGGCAAGGGGTGAGAGCAGCCTGCACCTCCCCCACGCCTTCACTTGGGGTGCTGCCCTTTGTCACCCTGGGGATTTCTTAAATCTTTGGATCTGGGCCTCATCTCAGGAACATCTCCAGGAAACATCTGTGAGCTGGGTGCCCTCTGCTCCTTCGTTTCTGAACATTGCCCTTGACTCCTCGGTCCGCTGTGGCCCCAGGGTGCTCTAAGAGGCCGATGCCCTTGGCCACTTCCTGAGGCCACCATGAGCTTTTCAGTGTGTGCCTGAACGGAGGAGGGCTGTGCTGTGATTGCCCTGATTGAGACAAGTGACAAGGCTGTGACCCACAGGGCCAGCATTCTAGAGCCAGGAGGGGAGGGCTGGGAGCAGCCCGGCACGGTGAGGAGACTGTGAGGTTGGCTGTTGCAGGTAGCAGCAGCCATTCCCTGTGGTTGTTTCCACTCTGTGACCCTGATTTGAGAGCACAGTTGCAGGGATGTCACCAAGGCTGCGGTCAGACTCCCCAGGAGGCCTGGCTAGCAGGAGGACTGTGAAAGTCCACGGCCACATCAGCTGTCCTGCTCTTAAAGTTCTTGGGACAAAGGTGTTTATGAAAAGACCACGTGACCTCCAGGAAGTGGGGTGTCTAGGTTTGGGCTATGCAGCCAGGGACACTGGGCCTGGCCGTTACCACCCTGGAACAGGACTGTTTCCACTGTGATAGTGGTCAGAATGGTCAGGTCCCTGGGAGCAGAGCCTCCCGTCAGCGAGAGGAGTCAGTGTGGGAAAATGGAAGCTCAGTTGGAATGAGCAAAATGGAAGGGCAAAAGTTTTGTGACAGTATTTTCAATGTCCTTTAAGATAAGAACAAACCAGTGAACTGGGTGTGGTGGCACATACCTGTAATCTCAGCACTCGGGAGGCTGAGGCAGGAGGATTGTTGCGAGTTTGAGACCAGCCTGGGCTACAAAATGAGCTCAAGGCCAGTCTGAACTCCATAGCGAGACCCTGTCTCAAAAAAAAAAAAAAAAAAAAAAAAAAAAAAAAGAACAAGCCAGTGGATGTGATCCCAACCTGGAGGTGAGTATAGTGAGGAAGGGGTGCCAGGGGGAGACACTGGTCCAGGGTCCCAACCTGAGCAAGAGGCCCTAAGGCAAGTGGAGGCTAAGTCCCATGAACAGGGGGACTGCTGCCCCCAACACTAACTGCCCCTTGTCGGAAGTGTCAGTGAGTATGCTCCGAGTGACCCCTCCATGCCAGACTGGAGCTACTGAGGAAGATGCCCCTGGCCCCACCAGGGTAGGGTTAGGGTTTGGGGACGGGCACAGGAGAGCAGCAGGTGGTGGAACCCCACCGAAGCCTGCAGCAGCAGAGACTCCGAGACCACAACTCTGATGCTGTAGGTGTGGGGAGGCACAGGATTGCCCGGGGAGCGGCCAGAGTCATGGCTTCTCTGTGGTCTAACCACTGGACCCTGGCCACTGCCTCTTCTGCTCCAAGGGAAGCCACAACAAAATGAGGGCATTCTGGGCATGGTAGGGGGATCAGCAGGGGACCCCTGGTGGGCCGGCTCATGCACGTAGATAGCCATGACTTTGAGCTAGCAGATGAGCTACACAACCATGCAGACCCTGAAGAAAGGGCCCACAAGCTTTGGGTTCTGTCCTAGGTCACTACAGCCCTGGGCCCAGCAGGCACCATGGCTCTCCTGAGCCACCACCTGTTAGGGGAACTGGCAGTGAATGCAGGTCACAGGAGCCTTACAAGAGCTGGGTGCCCTCTTTGGTACATATGGTGGGGACCAACAGCCCAGAGACCCAGCCTGGAGGCCCATAACCTGTCTGGGTATCTATCTTTCCATGAGCTTGGCTCTGCCCAGGGTGCACAGGAGCTGGGCACCTACTAGTAGGCATGAAGGCAGCCTGCAGATTGGGGGTGACTGTGAGCCAGACTGGGCCCAGCAGGCTGGGAGGAAAAGCAAGCGTCAGAAGGCCCCACCAGCGTCTGGGCTCAGGTCATCCGTCTGTCCTGCAGGTCTTCAATGCTGGAGGATCCCCAGTGTGTGCTTAGGGGCTCAGGAAGGAGCCCAGCAGCAACACAGCCAAGCCCCAGGAGCAGAGAACCTCACATCTGTCCATCTGATGAATGCGCTCTGGGCAGAAAGCCTGTCACATTTCCATTTCCTTAACTTGCTGTCTTGAGGAAGGGTGTGTCTGTCCTCCCAGTGGTCAAAGATCTGAAGTACCAAACGCAAGGGCACAAGAACTTCCATATGCTCCATCAGCGTATGCAGCTCCCTGCTCAGCGGAGGGGCTGTGCCTCTATTCTCTTTTTCAATTTCTCTTTAAAGCATTAAAATCTTAAAAGAGTAATCAGCGGTTTTTTTTCAAGTTAAGCGAAACGCTTAAAATATAGAGCTTTACAAATAACAGCTTGGCACATAGGTAGAGCTAGAGGGATGAGGCTAAGCTGTGTGTGGATAGGGACCCGGGGTCTCTTACCGGCTGGTCTTTAACCCCTTCCAGAGTGTTGTGCGGGCTGTGGTTTGCAGTGTCTATGAAAAAAAGCCTCCACGACGGCCACTAGGGGTCGTCGGGGTTCTCGCCGGGAAACACTCGGTTTTTCTCTTCGTGGGTGTGTCTCTGTGCGTCACAAACTGAATTACCTCACAATTTTAAACTTTTTCCTGTTTTCATTCAGGCTAAAAATTGTTTTCAATAGCCGGCGTGGTGGTGTGCGCCTGTAACCCCAGCTACTCGAGAGGTTGTGAAGGACAGCTAAGGCCAGAACGGGCAATTGTGTGAGAACTTGTCTAAAAGTTTAGAAGGGGCTGAGGATGTGACTCAGGGGTGGAGCGCTTGCACAGCAGGCGCCAGGCCCTGGGTCCGAACCCCAGTAGAAAAAATAAATAAATTAAAGGAAGTTTTCAATCTACCGGGAAAAGTCACTCCATATAATTCCAAGAACTCAACTAATTATATCAAGGAAGCTTGGGACCAAAACGCGGATTTGAGCTGGACGTGGTGGGCCTCGCCTGTAATGCTACCACTCGGGAAGCTGAGGCAGGAGGATCGTTGAGAGTTCGAGTCCAGCCCGGGCTACAACCAGACCTCAAGGCCAGCTTGAACTGCATAACGAGACCCTGTCTCAAAACAACAACAATAACAACATCAACAACCACAACAAAAAACCCACACAAAAAAACCCCGCAATTTGGACCGATTTTGCCGATTTTGGGCTCCGGGTTCCTGTGCGGCGCCAGCCGGTCCGTCCTGGTCTGCTCTGCCTCCCGCGGGTTCAGCGTGCCCGTGTCCACAAAACATACTCGTGGCTTAGCGGGTTCCCAGAGAGAAGGCTCCTGGTGATGGCTTTAGGGGACTGCTCTCCTTTTCCATATTATAGACTTGTAATGCAAAGGACAGCGCAGCAAGGGCCTCCGCGATCCGGACAGCCCGATAGGGAACGTGTTGTGGGGCGCGGGTCCTCAGGCCCGCCCTCCATCCAGTGGCGTTCAAAAGCTTGCCCTGAGCAGGAGAGATAGCTCAGCGGCACAAGCGCCTCCTTCCTGGTTCGGGCCTCAAGGGGGTGGCGCCCCGATTCCGCGCGCATAGAGGTCCTCTGCCTCTAAGGCTCGGCTAGCTGCGCGGGCGCCAATAGCAACCGGACAGGGCACCGTTGCGAAGCGAAATTGACTTTGCCCAGGGCAAGGGGATAATTTTGTCCCTGCTTGGCTCCGGTAACCAGGCACTCCGCCTCTCCATAGAGCCCGCTCTGCTGACGCAACGTCGACAATGGCGTCACCGTCCTCTCGGCCAATCCCAGAGCTTCACGCGGCATGGCCCTCACGCTTTTCCGTTGGCAGGGAGGAAAGGGGTGTGTGTCGCGTCTGCGCAGTGCCCCTGGCCGCCGGTTCGCTGCGCGTGGC